TATGATTTTATTAAAAATTAAGATATCGGTTTTCCAAATTAAGTCATGTTTTTAAGGTAGCACCCCGAATCAGTTTTCGCAAAGTAAAAGATTTATTTTTAAATAACTTTGTGAAATTTTCGCACGCTGATTTTACGATAAGGAGAGGTGTTACAGTTGAGGTGTTCACTTTTTCATTTCAGCTTCTCAAGTAAAGCAAACTAACTTAACTGTCAGGATTACTTAGCAAAAAAAGTTTCATGATTTGTGTAAATCTGAAACCATTTCTTCTGAAATGATACAACTGCATATATTATCTCTCCCTTATTTGTTGGTCTTTTGGCTATTTAGTAGGTTAATGTGTTTTTCTTTTAAAGCAAAAATATGTATTGCTTGTGTGCAAAGTACTGAGACTTTATTATAAATTTCATAGTTTGTGAAGTTATAGAGGCCTGCATAGATTATTTTCCCCTTATTTGTTTGTCTTTTGGGTATTTGGTAGGTTAGGATGTTTAACTTTTAGAGGGAAATTTTATATGTTACTTATTTGTTAATTGTTTTGATGGCTGCTTTTCCGTTGTTTTGTTTTATATATGCAACATAATAATATAAACTCTATTGTATTGCTTTTACTAATAATTAATTTAACTTGGTGATTCTTAAATGTTTGTTTGTTGAATTTTCTCTTGTTGTACTAAAGTATTAGATGACTTAATTGATGCAATTTGTTAGCTGCAATCTTATTAGATAGATTAACATTTCAATTTTTTCTCTCGCAACAGATTATGAGGAAGAAAAAGGTAATACTTTTGTTGTGATAGTGTGAATATTATCTGGAATTTTATTCGGGTCTTGATAATTTTGTTTTGTTCATAATCATAGGTAGTTGAAAACAAAGATCTTATCTTGAAAATATGTTAAGAGCCCCTTTACATTTTCTTTGCAGGTAATTTTTCCTTCTACACTGAGGTTTTTCTTTGGTTTCCTCGCCTTTTATTTACGTGGTGTTCAGTAAATATTACGAACAACTATCCACAATGTTCTTCCATCATTTAACAAGAACTTCTACTATGCAGGGCCCACTTTCTTGCAAGGTTCCACTTGCTGCTTTTGCTTGCGAGGTTCTTGGAGTTTGACAACTTGTACGGGTGCCGCCACTCACTGTCGGATGGACTGATGAGGGCCACCAATGTAATGATTGCCGAAAAGATTGGAGTGGTGTGCGGGTACGTGGATGTGGGCAATGGTTGCGCCTCTGCCCTGAAGCAAGTCGGGCCTCGCGTATCTGGGCCTACAACACAACACTCGCCAGGAACAGTCTCAATGACCTCAAATTCTACACTTCTCTGATGTCCCTCACAAGAAAACAATCCCCTTTCCTAAATGGGGAGTATGCTACCAGGAAGTAAGCTGCACAGAAAATATATACTAGGGCCTGGTAAGATAAGAAAGATAAGAACTCTTACAACTACTAAATATTGCTTCGCTTGAACTACTGAAAAGGGTGTAGGAGCTAAGAAAACAAGATAATAATAGTATTTATCTTTTTTCCAATTATTTTTTGTTCTCTTTCGTATCATATTCATATTTTTTGCTTTTTATTACAGTAAGGGCATTTCAGCCTCATCCCTCCCCTACAAGAGATATCTTACCAACTGGCTCAAGACCTCTTCTCAAGATGTAACTTTTCTCCATTTCCCAAAGATCTTCAGTACATTTGTTCATTTTTCTGTTTTCTTTTTCCCGCTCTTAATTATTGTCTTTTTTATTGACCTTCAAGGTTGAGGATGATATCTGCTAATTTGCGAAAAAAAAGGTTGACACCATCACATATCGGTGTGATTCTACGTGATTCTCACGGTATTGCTCAGGTGAAAAGCGTCGCCAGAAGCAAGATCCTCTACATTTTGAAGGTGCATGGTACTTTTATAATTTTTTTTCTGCTAATTTTGTATTTTTTGGAACGAAAACAATGTGATTGGTGGTGGTTAAGGTTAAATCTTAATAATTTGATTTTTTATTCATGTCTAACATAGGAGATTCCAGAGGATCTGTACCGCTTCATAAAGAAAGCAGTTGCCCTCAGGAAGTGCTTGGAGAGGAACATGAAGGACAAGGAAGCGAAGTTCAGATTGATTTTGGTGGAGAGTAGGATTCACCGTCTCGCCCGTTACTGCAACAAGACCAAGAAGCTCTCGCCCTTTTGAAAATAGTAATTCCATTCTCTCTTCTTTTTTTTTCGACAATTACATTTGATGGCCCTAATAGCTTACTTGAGTGCTGGTTTTGTTGAGTAAAATTTGGGTTTAGTTGTTTGTATGAATAGAGGCTTAATGATTTAGCATGATTAGTGATGTTTTTTAGTGTGTTGATTCAAGTACTTTACACCTACACTACATATTCGAGTGGGTGCTTGGATAAGATAGTCTATTTTTGAATATTATTTGAATTTAGGATTCTCCTTCCATTTACTTATACCATAAAGAAGAAAGCGACGAATTATTACAAAAGGCATCAGCTCATATCGAATTACGGCCTTTTGATTTTGAATTAGTTGTGAATGAAGTTAAATATAAAATGGATGAGTTCTGTTGGTAAAAAAATGTGGAAATTAAAAAACGTTAGCAATTACGCTAATAGTTCCAGTTCTTTTGAAGTTGCTATTGTTTTTTCAAGCTACAAATTAGAACGGTAAGAACTTGTCATCCAGTGGTAATATGTGAACATTCTTTCTGTAATTCATATCCGAGCACTGTTTTATGGATACAACATCCCCAAGACGAACCCTTAGGGTCGCTCGGGCAAATATGCATGTCATTACAAATTGAATGTGTTCTTTGATAGGGTCTTGAATTTTTGGTGTCCGAGGCTAAAAGGCCTGTGTTTTATTTGATACTGAGCTTGGTGAACAATCGGGAAGGTTTTGGAGGGAAAAGTCAATATGTTAAATGAGTCAGGGATCAGGTCAGTACATGAATAACGACGATGACGTATTCACCAGTCCAATTACCAAAGTTTACTATAAAAATCATGTCAAGGTAAAGCCCTAAATTATTTTATCTGTATGAATGTGTAGCATCACAAGAAGAAAACTGCAGCGCAACATAGCTTTTGAGTACCATGATGTTACTTAACACGCTGCCAGAATGATTAAGTTTTCACATAAAAGGTCTGTTAATTATTGCCCTGTTGACAAGAGTAAACTCAATAACTAGGGTTGTTTATAGAGACAAGCCCATAATACTCAGATGGGAGCTAATGAACGATTGTCGATTTGACCTTCTGGAAAAGCTATTCAGGTAGCTAGCACTCTTTTATTATCTACCTAAACAGATATTCCAAAATAAAAAAACAGAATATTGTCCAAAAAACATTGGTCGATGCATTGCAGGATTTTAGGCTTAAGTTCTTAACCTAATTGTGCTTCTATCAACCATCAATGGTGGAGAGTTTTTTGGCCCGCCGAGCATTGACAAACCAATAATCGTTAGGGTTAAACGGGAAGCTCTTCAATCGACCGTAGATGGTTTTTGTGAGTATTGGTTCTTATGTTCAAAGAATTTTAGTCACTTCACTGCATATTCTTAAGCCTATTCTGGGATTCTGAGCGATGACATTTTTACCCATTTTTTTTCTTCTCAGGGCTAGAAATTAATGCGAGATCATTAAATTGGCCTTTGCTCGATGTTGGTAATATATCTATATCAGATGATTCCTGGAGTAAAGGTAGCTGATTTTTTAACTTGGGGATGCGCTAGATAAGCATTATGTTCTTTTTAATTACGTCATGAATTTTTTATATTTATTTTTTATAAAAAGAAAGTAAGAGAATATCTCCAAATGTATTTAAATTTATTAAAAAGTTCAAGAAAATACACTAGGTTGAATCACATCATGGTTGTGAAAATAAAAATGAGAACAAATATTTAAATACATAAGTATAGTTGAGATAATATTAAATATGATAATTTAGAACTTCTGAAAGAACGTGATAAATCAAGAAAATGGGGACATGGTGAAGTTGGTGATATGAAATGGTAAAGTAGATAATATTTGGAGGTTTGGCATTGAGTTGTCCATTCTGAAAAGAAGGAAAATGGCCAACTTAATGATAGGATATGTTGTTAGGTTTGTCTTTAGGGGCGTAAGTACTCCGTTGATTTCAACAAAAGATTTCCTTTTTATGTTCTCCTTTTCTCTTATTGTTTTGTGGAAGTGGTGTATTTTTATGCTCTATCCGTAACCACTCATAGAATTATCCTCCAACATCGCAGGCTTCGCCCAACAGCAACAATATGCATTACTTTATCAAGTCTTGCTTTATTGTGCACGCATAGTATTACTATGGTCAATAGATTGTTTATTAATTTACATGGCTAAATGAAAACTAAACCTGATGCAAGGGCAGAAGAAAACAAAATATCTGTTATTATTATTCCGGGCTCAAGCAATCAAAGAAAATTCAAAAATTACAACTAAAGATGTTATATGTTGGTTGTCTGTGTAGTTTCATAAATTTATTTGATTGATATCTTTATGTTTAGATATGATTACAACTTTCAAGTCCCATTTTTCCAAATTATTGCTTGTGTATTTTAAAATCTTTTAAATTTACCTAATTTTGTTGAACACATTCTCTCTTTTAAAATAACATAAGACAAATGATAAGTAGGGGTGGTAAGAGGACGACACACTCAAGAAGCTAGCGGCAGAAGAAGATTTGAAAAACAAGCCAATCCAGTGTTACAGACAGATATTAGATGTGAATCAGTTGTTGGAGAGGAAACTAAACTAAATCATATGAGATACCAAATTACTTTTATAGTGTGTTTAATTATAAGCTAAATCGTAAAACTAGCTGAGTTTAGTTTCTTTAAATTTTCACTGCAATTGGTTGTTTTATACAAGTGCAAAGCACTATATGTAGAGGTCCTAAATCTCATTCATACTACTTCCAGTACATTTGAAAAATTACTAAGGGTAAACTAAATCAATTTTAACTTGATTATCGACTAAATTCAGGTCGGCTCTGTGTGCAAATACAATGTTTCTTGTACAACTTTTTGAGTCCAAAATATATTTTTTTAAGGACAAACCAAATGTTGGACAAACTTTCTACTCATAAAAAAACTAAATTATACACCAGGTATTAGACCGTCGTGCGTGCACGGCGTAAATCCATCTAGTATATATATATATATATATATATATATATATATATGTATATATATATATATATATATATATATTAGTATTATGTTGTGTTAAGCTCAGGCTTTGGCAATTCTTTCGCTAAAAGTGCTGCTTAGTGACTTCAGGCGAAGACCGTTCGTAAATTATCTCGAAAGAGAAAGGTGTAGGAACTCGAATAAGTCCCTAGGGTATGAGAGTATTTAGAGAACCAGGATCATTATCGAAAGCAGGACTAACTGGGGATGACTTGAATCGATTGTAGAGGAATTAATCATGGACTCGTGTAGTCACATCAGTTTTGTTTTCTCTTCCTAAGTTTTTGCTTTCTCAGAAACTTTGCAAACCTTCGTTTATTTTCCTTTTGCGTGACTGATAATTATGAATTGTGTTCGAGACTCCTTTATTCATCTCAATTTCAGTACTTTTGAATTTTGTTTGCCTTCTCTTTGACAATCCTTATCTATCCTCGTAATTGAGAATCTTGTTTGGTGATGCTTCTAATTTAATATGAAGTTGGATGAGTCGAGAAGTGTTTCTCTACCGTAAAAGATTTTGAAGAATCTTTTAAGGTGGGTAGCCGTGCCAGGAGCAAGCACATCGTGAGGTGCAGGGTCGTCTTCGCTTTTGATATGCGTCATCGAAATCTTTGGAAGCTCATTTACGACTGCCGGCACGGTTAGCTACTTGATCAAGAGCTGACGTGACGATCGACGCAGTTAGTCGAGAGAGTTGAATGAGTTAACCGTTTCATTACTCGGTAATGACCGCTGGGATTGGGATTATTCCTGGTTAAGGAGCCGATCCTCGTGTCTTTTGGAAAGTTTCCCCGACCTCTATCGTTGTTTTGTTCGCTGGAGATTGTGCTGATCAGGGAAGTTGCTGGACTTGGAACTCGTTTTATGCCTTGTAAAGCATGACACCCTTGAAACTGCTAAAATTGTTTTGTACCTAATGGAATCATCTTTGACTGAACCCTAATTTTTGTAGTTTGGGATTATTGTGTAAAACCTTTATTCTTTCTGATTACCTTGGAAATTATGAACCCGGAGTTAGAGAATTTCTTTTTTTTGTACCTCGAACCGAACACCGACCCTGGCTGGGTGTAGCCACGCGAAGTGGTGGTCGAACATGCACGCCCGTGCTGAGAGACGTGAGGCCAAATGCAGTGGCCGACCGTTGACTCGCACGAGAGCTGCCGCCGCCATCACCGAACGCCAAACTCCCAAGGCTAGTGCGTATGGCCAACTCGTTTCTGTACCAAAGGTGTTGGGAAACCTCTTGAATATTGTCCTTTGAACCTTCAACCGAGAGCTCCAAGTTCCATTGAATCGATGATTAAATTCTCGGAATCACTTAATTCTCGATGAAGTGAGGTTTATTAATTATTGCTTAGCTGCAGGAGGGATGTCCTTCGAGCCGCAGGATTTTGAGGTGCTGCATTGGCGAGCAGAATCTCGAGTCTCGATTTGAGACTATGTATTCACCGTGGAAATCATGTTGGTACGAATGTCTTCCTGAAGGTCGCACCCGATGGGTATGGTTCGCTTTGGGAAGAAGGGAGGAGCTTCAGCCTCGCTATATCGGACCCTTTCAGACTCTCGCACGAGTCAAAGACTTGGCCTACCGGTTAGCTTTACCGCCTGTGTTGTCGGAGTGCATGATCCCGAACACATGGTGGACTTTGTCGAGTTGCAGGTCGAGCGAGGCCTTACCCATGAGTAGGTACCGGTGTTCGTACTGGAGCGGAAGGTTCATCAGCTGAGGACCCGGGCAGTCGATCTCGTCGAGGTGCAATAGAACCGGCACGGCAAGTCCGAGGCAACAAGGGAGACTGAGACCGAGATAGGAGGAGATATCCGAACTTCATGTTTGATGATTGTATTATAGAGTTTGGATGTTTTATTTTCGAATTCTGAGGACAAATTCCTTTTAAGGTGGGTAGATTGTAGCGCCCCGTTCGAATATGCAAATTTATGTGAATATATATGGATTATTTCATATTATTTTTTATTAT